AAAACTGCAGCACAGCCTTACTCCAGGAAAGCAAAAAGTGTAGCTACCCAAGCGATGCTGAGAAAATTATGAGAAATTGGCATAGCACTTAAGTGAGATGCTTTCTGTTGAGTTTACAAGGAAGCATGTGAACCCAGCCCTGACTTGAGGCAGACTTTTTAGCAGAACCCAGTGCTTTCAAAGGATTTGATACTGAAAGGGGAGTCCTGCAGTTGAAAGCTATTAAAATGAAAACATTTGATCCAAGTCTTGGGTCAAAGAACTGATATTAGCCATTTCTGGGGACTGTTTTGCACTAGCTCTGGTCCTTCCTGAGAGTCGTTCTCAGAAAGGTGTTGCTGGGGGACACCTGCTCGGCCCTGCAAACATTGACTTGCAAGGTCCCGCAGGGTTCAGTATTGTCCCTCATGTTGTTTAACATCTACATGAAGCTGCTAGGGCAGATCGTCTGGAGTTTTGGAGTTTGACGCCATCTGTACGCAGATGATGTCCAACTCTATCACTGTTTTCCACCTACTATTAAGGTGGCTGTTCTAGTCCTGAATCGGTGCTTGGCAGCTATGATAGTCTGGATGACGATGAACAAATTGAAATTGAATCCTGACAAGACAGAGGTACTTCTGGTCAGTTGGAAGGCCAAATAGGGTATAAGGTTATAGCCTGTGTTGGACGGGGTTACACTCCCCCTGTAGACACAAGTTTACAGCTTGAGAGTTCTCCTGGACATATCGCTGAACCTGGAACTTCAGGTTTCAGCAGTGGCCTAGGGAGCTTTTGCACAATTAAAACTTGTGTGCCGGTTGCGCCCATACCTTGGGAAGTCAGACTTGGCCATGGTGGTCCATGCTCTTGTTACATCTTGTATAGACTACTTTGAAGACAGCCCAGAAGCTTCGATTAGTCCAACAGGCAGCAGCCAGATTTCTAACTTGTGCGGCATACACAGAGCATACTACTCCTCTGTTACGTCAGATCCATTAGCTGCCAGTTTGCTACTGAACCCAATTCAAAGTGCTGGTCTTGGCCTATAAAGCCTTTAATGGTTCTGATCCAAACTTTCCCAAATGCATATCCCTCTATGAGCCTATAAGAGCTTTAAGATCAGCTGAGGGACCCTGCTCTCCGCCCCAACCTCTTTGCAAGTGCAATTGCTTGCAAAGCGCAACAGGACCTTCTCAGTGGTGGTCCCTTAGCTGTGGAACTCCCTCCCCACTGGCATCAGGCAGGCCTCATCCCTCCTGGTTTTTAGAAATAAACTTAAGACCTGGCTTTTTACGCAGGCGTTTGGTGAATAGGAAACTACGGAACGAGACTTTAATAGGTTGAATAATGGACTGTGTGGATTTTGGAGAACGATTACAGATATGAGATCATGACTCAACATTTTAGATGGTTTTTAATCTGTTTGATTTCTTGATATGTATTTTAATTGCTTATGTTTGGATTGCTTTATATTTTGATGAGATGTATGGCATTAAAATTTTTCCAAATTTGTAAGCCATCTTGAGTCAAGAAAGGCGGAGTAGAAATGAAGTAAATAAATAATAAATAAATTGATAGACCAATGGTCTGATTGGTTTTTGTCCGGTTTCTAGGGTTATTTGGGGTCCTGGTTCAGAAAGTTGCATTGGATAGACCGTATTAGCTCTAGTTTCTTTGATATGGTTATCATGACCTTCTATGGGTGAGCAGATGAAAACTTGTATATGTTCTGTCAACCTAAAAAACTAAAGCTAATAGGGAAAACTGGTGCTACTTTTAGAATCAGCAGGTGAAATATACCCAGAAACAGGTCTAATGTTTGAGGCATTAAAATGTGTGTTGGCTAGAATTATCATTCTTTAGCTATCTAACAGGGCTGGCCCTATCTTTGGGAAGACTGCAACAATCTCAGGTGGCAGAAGCTTGGAGGTGAAAGTGAAGTGTTGAGGGAAAGAAGTGTGAGCTATAGAGTTGATCCTATGACTCCTAAACCAGACAGCTGCCTTCAGGTGCCAGCCTAGTGCAGTTTTTATATATGGAATGAGAATAGGTGCCCATCTTGGTTTTTTTAAAAAAATTCTAGCTCCAAAATATCTTGGTCCAGCTCTGCTACTGTAACTGGAATACTTACTTACTTGCTTAGGTGATCCCTCGTAGCCTGAGGATGATGGTCCTCGAAGTGTAGTGTGGCGGTCGGTCCTTAAGTGGGTGCGGAGCCCTATTCTTCATCCACATGTTCTCTCACAGTGAGAACATCGGTTTCCAGGTGGAAGGTGATCCTGGTCAGGGTTGGTTTGATGCACCTTCCTTTTGGCACCTTTCTCCCTTTCACCCTCTATTTGTGCCTCTTTGAATTCTGCAGCACTGCTGGTCACAGCTGACCTCCAGTTAGAGCGCTCAAAGGCCAGGGCTTCCCAGTTCTCGGTGTCTATGCCACAGTTTTTAACATTGGCTTTAAACCCACCTTTAAATCTCTTTTTCTGTCCACCAATATTGTGTTTCCCATTCTTGAGTTCAGAGTATAGTAGCTGCTTTGGGAGATGGTGATCAGGCATTTGGACAACATGGCCAATCCAGAGGAGGAGCATCACTTCAATTCTAGTGGTCTTTGCTTCTTCCAGCACACTGACATTTGTCTGCCTGTCTTCCTAAAAGATTTGCAAGACTTTTTGGAGGCAACACTGATGGAATTGTTCCAGGAGTTGAGTGTGACGTCTGTAGACAGTCCACGTTTCACAAGTATATAGCATGGCTGCGAGAACAATAGCTTTCTAAACAAGCACCTTGGTATCCCTACGGAGATACCAGTGATTGTACCAAATATAAAGCTATGCAACAGACATGGCTCTCCTTATTGGATTTCTGAGCCACATTATGAGTGATGATTCTGCTCAGTTTCCTGTCAAAAAAGCTACCCTCTTAGCCATGACTCCAACCTGTGAATCACATCCTGAAAATTAAATAATTGTGAGGATTTTTTAAAAAAAATGTCAGCCTGGAAAGAGTATAACATCATAACTAATGCTTAAGAGGGGGGGAAAGACCACCCCAACTGGGAGAAACGTGAAGTCTAATAACTCCAGTTTCCTCTCCTGTGCTTGTATACACTTGTGCTGTGCATAGAAACGGGACAGAATTGACATTTCATTATCCTTTGGGCCTCACTAATGGCAAACTTTGTTTCTCTGTAGCCATGTCAACTGTGGATAACACTTCATCTACCTGACAGAATGGATTCCAGTTGAGGAATATTTATGTCACTATATTAGTCTTAAAAAAGTAATTAGAGGCAGCTCAGCACTATGAATTATCCCAGCAGTGAATCTGTTTTGCTGCAGAAAAGCATATCCTATGGATTACAGGGAAAATCCCAAGAGTCCAGGATCAAATCCCACGCCCTTCAAATCAAGTGTTTGATATATCAACACTTCCTGTGGAAGTCGACTTCCAATTTCAATATTTTCCAAAAGGAATAGGCTGCATGCCTTGGTTTGCAGAGGTATTGCCTGCCTTGGAGCACAATTCTCCATGCTTTTGTCACTCACAGTGGGAGGAACTTCAGCAGCTGCAAAAATGAGCAGCTTCATATGGCACACTGACTGAAGTTATCCACCTTTGCAATATATCAATTAAAACTATCTGTGTGCTTATCTTGAAAATATAAATATGGGATACCTGTATCAGTACACAGAGACAGAAAAGTGGATGGAACGGAGGAGTCGGAAAGAAAGCATAGGTGGCTGAGACATGAATTACAATAGTCCGCACTGAGACATTTCGTTGAAGGCCCCAGTAGCTAAGAAGGATGATTTTGGTGAGGCGGATCAGGAATTGCTGCTTTAAGCACCAGCTATATTAAAGGCACAGTTATGGGTAGTTCATTGATTTTGCCATTTTAGGCCAGTGTTGGAGTTACAGCCTTATAGAGCTGTTGAAAAGAAATGACTTATAGCAACACTGATCAATTGCTCCAGAGGGACAGGCAGCTCTCCCTTGCCAAGAAGGATGGTTGCTCCTCCTGGAAATGCCCTTTTATTGCCCGATAAGCCTTCACATGAACTCATTCCCTTCATTCCAATGAAATCTGACGGCTTGTCGTGAATGATCTGTTGACGGTTCCATTCATCAGTCAGTTCCCAGAAAAGTACACCAAGAAACGTTCTCCTTGAGCACTCAACTCCGTTAAAACTCCCTTTCCTTCAAAACTCAATGAAGCCCCCAAAAAAGTAATGCAGAAACATTTAACAGTTATGAATAGGTATATGCAAAAGGCATCCCTAGTGGTGCAGTGGGTTAAACCACTGAGCTGCTGTACTTGCTTACCGAAAGGTCACAGGTTCGAATCTGGGGAGCAGGGTGAGCTCCCGCTGTTAGCCCCAGCTTCTGCCAACCTAACAGTTTGAAAACAATCAAATGTGAGTAGATCAACATTAAGTAAGTAAACTTTATTATGGTCGATGACCAGATAATAAGAATAGATCAACAGGTACTGCTGAGGCGGGAAGATGTAGTCATGCCGGCCACATGACCTTGGAGGTGTCTATGGATAACGCCGGCTCTTCGGCTTAGAAATGGAAATGAGCACAAACCCCCAGAGTTGGACACGACTGGACTTTATGTCAGGGGAAAACCTTTACCTTTGTATATTCGGGGGCCAACGCAGAGGTGGCCCTCGGTAATTTTCAACAGTAAGCAAACAGTATTTTGGCACCCAACCAATCACTGATATATATTTTCTGTTCGTCGTGGGAGTTCTGTGTGCCATATTTGGTTCAATTCCATCATTGGTGGAGTTCAGAATGCTCTTTGATTGTAGGTGAACTATACATCCCAGTAACTACAACTCGCATATGTCAAGGTCTACTTTCCCCCCAAGAGCACCTCAAGAGCGCCCCTGGGCAAAATCAACTATACTGCAAATGCTTACTTTGCGTAATGGGTTGAGCGACCCCTGGGCCAACGTAGTCTGATCCTACTCACTTTTTTCTTTAGGGCTATAAGGTACAACACAGCATTGGTTTAAAAATCAAAATAGTTTATTGCTCTTCTTTGTAAAAATGCACTTAGAGCATACACTGTCTTTTACGTAGTGGTTTGTACCACCAGGCTGTTGATTTTTTTTTTTCAGTTTTTAAACGCTTTTGTTACGTGCGTAACACCATTGTAGAACTCTGCTCCATTCCTGGCATTCTTCCTACGCATGGCTGGCCCATGACCCCATTTTACTTTTATATAAATACTGTAAAATTTTCTCTAGACTTTGCAGCATTATAAGACAAAAGATCTATCAAAGTAGACAATAAGTTCAATATTCTTTTTCTTCTTCTTCTTTGCTTTAAAAATATACCTAAAACTTTTTGAGATAATCTTAAGAGTAACAATGAACAATAAGAAAAAAAAATTACAGTGCGTTGACTGAAGGAATATTCCACCGTCCTTAAAGCTAATATTCCCTTTTTGCATGTTGAAAAGTGATTTAGCAGTTACTTAGCAACTTCCTTTCCCATCTACATACAATAATTTAGTTGAGAATTAAACAAGGCAGATACTACTATTCTTTCATCTGCAATTCACAGTTTCTGTGAATAAGGAGATCACAATAAATATTAAAAATAGGTTCTTCTTTTTTTCCTGTAAGGCATCTGAGTATCATAAAGTTTTAATACAAGCCAAAAGAGAAAGCATTTGCTCTTTTCCCTCTTTGTTTCTCGAAGTACCTTCTGTGAAGAGGGTGAATGATCAAACTGTAGAGTTCAAAGGCGGCTGGGCGCAAGGGGTAAGCAGTGCATAAGAAGGTGCGCATGGAACATCTTCAATAGCAGGAAAAAGAAAACGATTACTTGATGGAACTAGATAGCTGCACGTGTGCCAGAACCTGTAGTTTTCACTCACTTTTAGGAAGGGAAAAAGTCATTTCTAGTCCGTCCTTGAAACAATATTTGTCTTGGTTTTAAAAAAGAGAGAGAGAGAGAGAGAAAGAGCTTACCCCAAAGTTCACTGATACACATGTAAGTCTCTTTTGCATTTTTTTAAAAAACCCTTTCCTGTAACACTATAAATAGCTTAGGTATTGCTATGCATTCTTCTTAATAAGGTTGTGGTTGTTTTAAAAAGCTTTTTTAAAAAAAAGTTTGCTTTCTTATATCATTTTATAGATTTCTACCACCATCAACGTCACCTTTTTATCATTCTATTCCATCATGGTCAGAAAAAAAAACAGCCTTCCCAGAAGGGGTGGCGGGCAGGGTCCGAAGCCAGGGCCTCTATTGCATACGGTCAGGCTGTAGTTGTGTCGGCTGATACTGCAGAAAAGCCGTGGGGCCCCCAACTGGAGGGTTGGCAGCTGTGAGTGGTTGTTGAACAGCGCCTGTGTAGCCGTATCCCATGAAGCCGGTGGCCGGGGAGGCAGCGTAGGGGTACTGGTCGTAGGCAGCAGCGGTGAACTGAGAGTAGGCTTGGCTCGCGGTCGTGTAGTCTATATACGGAGAAGTGATGGACTGTACCGGGGTTGGGATGACCACACTCGGCTGAACAATCGCTTGAGGGTAGATAAAGTGATGTGCAAGCCTGTAGGATTGAAAGCAAAGACAAGTAGAAACCGTCAGGTATTTTTCATTGTATGTACAGGTGCATAGGTGGGGAGGAAAAACAGTCCAATCATGTCATTACAATGCAACTACAGCCCCCCCCCCCATGGCACAGTGGGTTAAACCCCTGTGCTGGCAGGACTGAAGACCGACAGGTCGCAGGTTCGAATCCGGGGAGAGGCGGATGAGCTCCCTCTATCAGCTCCAGCTCCTCATACGGGGACATGAGAGAAGCCTCCCACAAGGATGATAAAAACATCAAATCATCCGGGCATCCCCTGGGCAACGTCCTTGCAGACGGCCAATTCTCTCACACCAGAAGCGACTTGCAGTTTCTCAAGTCGCTCCTGACACGACAAAAAAAATGCAACTACAAGGGCTATTTTTATTACATGGGATAGAACAGTAGTTCCCAACTTGTGGTCCGTGGACCACCAGTGGTGTTGTATCCCAGAGCAGGAACACTTCTGTCCTTAAACACCACACCATTACAGTAAAATCAGCAAGCAGTTTATTGAAGGATACATGTAAACAAAGCAGTAAAAAGAGTATAGTACAAAACAGTATAGACCAAGGAAAAGAGATATTCCATGAAAATTCAAGGTACAAAGGTAAAAACACAAGATCCAAAGGTTCAAAACCCAGAGAACAAGCCAGCACGGGAATCAGATATATGAAACAGGAACTTGGCAAAACTTGAAACATGATACTAGAAATTCATTTGGAAACAAGACCATCATGAAGTTCCAATGTTGGCCAGACTGAGCTAAAACCCTTCCTTTGTATCAATATAAAGCTTTTCCAGTTCCAAGAACCGAAAGGAAAACATTCTGCTTGCCCTTACAATCAGATAAGGATTTCTTATCTTTCTTTTCCAGCAGACGGATTGACCTTCACCGATCCTGAAACTCTATCTCAGTTTACAAAAGCCTTGCCTTTTATCTTTACACTCATTAAATTTTGCACTTGACAAATCATCCTCAGAAGACAGTTCCTCAGAAAAAGACCAATGTGGGCCTCTCCCAGGAATTTGACCTTGTGAATATACAGAAGCAGCACTCCATTCATGAGACACTTTGGGCCTCTCAGCAAGGCCTGATTCAGGCCCAGCAAAGCCCTCATCCCCATTGACATCAGACACAGGCCCAGAAAACCCTTCATACCCATTGACATTAAACATAATCACAGGCTGAACCACAAGTGGTCCCCAAGAACTAAAATATGGTCCATGGCCTTACACTGTTGCAACGAGAGTGACTGGTCTCGTGAAACCCTCTTATAGTGCCGAGGCAATGGGGATGTCGGAACGGGAGAGCCTACCTACACACGAAAGGTGCGACAAGTCTCCTGACTGTTTCTTTTCCTCCTCCCTTCCTTCCCCTGTGCGGAGCTGTTTCATGTGGTGCCTAGAAACCAGGACGCTTTGGTGTCTTCATTTTTAGGCCTGTTCCAGGGGTTATTTGAGGTGCTGACTCGAAAAATTGTATTGGGTAGACCACATCAGCTCTAGATTATTAAATATGGTTTTCTGTGGGTGAGCAGATGGCGACTACTGGATGGCGTATGTTCTGTGTCAGAAACTAGAGCTGATGTGGTCTATCCAATGCAGTTTTCTGAATCAGCACCCCAAATAACCAAACTGAATCTAAAGTTGACCAAAAACTGATTTGTAACCCTTTTGGTACTAATGTTGGAGAGTGGTCCCTGGTCAAAAAATTAAGAAAAACGTTGAAAACCACTGGGATAGAACATAAAGAGACAAATGAGTCCAACAATTAAAGCAAACAATCAAACAAAACCCCAAAATAAGAATTGAAATCAACAAATGTGAGCTGCAGTCATGGGGCACTTTTAACTTTTTGGGTTCTACAAGTGTTTGTTCCTTGCTTAGGCTGCTAGCCAGTCATCCCCTTCCAAGATATTCCCTATTCCTTAGAATAGCCAGGCAATATTTTGTGTGGTAGGCTTGATGCTTAATGTTTATTCCTCCTCCTTTGAAGATTCTATCTCCTTTTCATAGCTTATGATTCAGCTTCTTCCCTTTCCTCTCACCCACCCTCATGTGTACGGAAGCTGTAAGATCCAGATTCCAAAAATGAGCTCATGACAAACCATAGCCTCCTTAAGTGGCTCAAGACATAACTGCATGTGATGTTAAACATGTTGCCTGCTGTTATCAGGTAAATTTTCTCTAAAACCAATAAGCACCAAAAATTAGCAAATTTCAAAGAGATCGGCAGCAAGCAGAGAGGAGAGCTTGAACTCCCTACACCTGGCATGCTGCAATAAGCAACAGTGGGGAAAAGCTCCAGCAGACACCAAACGAAAGCTTTATTCTCTTGCCAGAGATAAACCAAGGTATTTTGATGCCTTAAAGGAGAGGAAGAAATCAAAGCTGTCCTCTCCTCTTGAGGCTGCTTTGATTGTGTATTCCTGGATGGCAGAATGGGGTTGAACTGCATGGCCCTTGTGGTCTCTTCTAACTCTATGCTTCTATTATGTATTGTTGGCATCCAATCTATTCAAAGCAGTGGTTCTCAAACTGTGGGTCCCCAGGTGTTTTGGCCTACAACTCCCAGAAATCCCAGCTAGTTTACCAGCTGTTATGATTTCGGGGAGCAGAAGGCCAAAACATCTGGGGACCCACAGTTTGACAACCACTGCATTAACCATGGCATTCATCTCTGAAAGACTGAGAAAGATGGAAAGTTCCAAATGGCCAATCAGGGCCCAAGGTTGCTGGTTTGGCCACTATTTTGCAATTTTGGAGAGAATGATGAAAATGGCTTCTGGATGATTTCCCCCTCCCACTGGCACTACAATGCATAGCCTTATCCATGCGTGATTCTTCAATAAGACATTCTGAAGACCCCACTGCTATAGTTGTGTAAGATGCCCCAATGAACAGGAATAGGCAAAGTCTCTTTGTTACCTAAGGAAAAGAACAAAATTACATGTAAGACTGCATATCCCTCCCTCCTCCAGGCTTCTGTGCTTGTAGTGTATCTTTGGAGGTGACTTAGGAAGTATACAATTATGTTATTATTTGGAACATATTAGCGGCTACCCATTTATTAATTTCTACAAGTTTACAAAAAACAAAAATAAATAAATATCTGGCATAGAGTTTGGCAGAAGAAAAAAAACATACGTAGGAACACCTGGTTGTGATTTCCAAGGTATTGAGTTGCTGTGAGTTTTCTGGCTACATGGCCATGTTCCAGAAGCATTCTCTCCTGACATTTCACCAACATTTATGGCAGGCATCCTCAAAGGTTGTGAGGTCTGTTGGAAACTAAGTTGGAATGTTGGTGGACAGGAAAAGACATTTAAAGATGGGCTTAAGGCCAACCTTAGAGACTGTGGCATAGACACTGAGAACTGGGAAGCCCTGGCCCTTGAGTGCCCATGACCCGCAGTGCTATGGAATTCGAAAGAAACGTGCCAAGAGGAAGGCTTGTCAAGACAACCCTGACCAAGACCGCCTTCCACCTGGAAACTGATGTCCTCACTGCGGGAGAAGATACAGATCAAGAATAGGGCTTCACAGCCACCTACGGACCCACTGCCAAGTCACCACATCTGGAAGACAATCATCCTCGACCTATGAGGGATCGCCTAAGGAAGGAAGGAAGAAAACTAAGTGAAGTTTATATATCTGTGGAATGTCCAGAGTGGGGGAAAGAACCCTTGTTTGTTAGAGGTACGTGTGAACGTTGCAATTTGCCAACTTGATTAGCATTTAATGGCCTGCAGTTTCAAGGATTGGCTGGTTGCTTCCTGAGGGAATCCTTTGTTGGGAGGTGTTAGCTGGCCCTGATTTATTCTTGTCTGGAATTCCTTTGTTTTTTGAGTCTTGCTCTTTATTTACTGTTCTGATTTTAGAGCTAATAACTCTCAACAAAGGATTCCCTCAGGTAGCAACCAGCCAGGCCATTGAAACTGCAGGTCATTAAATGCTAATCAAGGTCACAAATTGCAACATTTTCATCTATCTTTAGCAGACAAGAGTTATTTCCCCCACCCTGGATATTCCACAGATATATAAACCTCTCTTACTTTGTTTCCAACAGACTTTTCAACCTCTGAGGATGCCTGCCATAGAGGTGGGTGAAACGTCAGGAGAGAATGCTTCTGGAACATGGCCACATAGCCCAGAAAATTCACAGCAACCCAGTGATTCTGTCCATGAAAGCCTTCGACAACACATTAAACAAGTTATTGTTCAAACGTTTATCTTCCTCCCACCGCAGCAGCTCTCACGACAGTATCTCATCTGCAAGGTTCTGACCAGTTTCTTCCAGCTATAATCAGAGTAAAGGTCCCCCCCACAGCAAGTTTATTTAACATTCCACTCTGTTGTCATTGACTCCATGTTTTAAAATGTGTATTGCCACAATACTCAAAGCCTTTTCTTTTCTTTTGGCAATGACTACGGGGCATTTGTTGTAACACACAAAAATGCTTATGCTGTTTACTCTTCCCTCTCCTCACCCACTCCCTATTCATATTTCCCTGAAGTTACCATGCAAACACCCTCCCCATTCCCCTTAACAGGCTGAGACTTGTACTAGATTGAACTGATAATAAACTTATATGGAACAACAAAAAAAGAGAATGAAACCAGCCGCACACCAGCTAACCACTTAGCTTTATGATCCAACAATGCTTCCTTTTCAGGGATGGTAGGAAGAAATTCCCCCAGTTTTTCTCCTGTTTTTTTCTATTTGTGGTTTTGGAAATCCCCCTTTGTTTATGGTCAGGAGTGTGGTGGGTTCTTCATATCCACTAGGGTTTGGTTTCAGGGCCTCCTGGAGATATCAAAATCCATGGATGCTGATGTCCCATTACATACGAGGGTTGAATGAAAAGTAATGCCTCCACCTTCGTAACTCCTCAACAGAGGGCAGTACTGGTATGCAGCAGGTGTTGGCTTGTTCAGTAGACTCTCTTCTACAGTTCCATTTTGGCGGGAAGCCT